GGTAACAGGCAGCAAGTGAACCCGCAGTCAGTAACAGGCAGCAAGTGAACTCTGGGAGCATGTAACAGGCGCAAGTGAAACCCTGGTAAGCATTGGCCAGGGTTAAATTCAAGGAGCCAGTTGCTGGACCAGGCTTTGTAGCCTGTCCATGTCTCTTTGTAGTCCTGCCTGAATCCTCATCCCTTATTTGATTCTTCTCATAACTTCGCATCATCTGCAAAACAAGGACCTTCTGAGTCCTATTCCCTTCCGTTTATGTCGTTTTCCACAATATACCAATGAAACAGCACAGGTCCCTAGACAGACCCCTGTGGAACCCCGCTTGTCAAAGGCCCCCCATCTCTGACACATCGTCGCGTACCATGACCTCGTTGTTGCCTCCCTGTCAGATATTCTCTGATCCATTGCATTGCCTTTTCCTTTATGTGCGCCTGAGTCCCCTCTAGCTTTTGCAGTAACCTCTTGTGAGAACTGTGTCGAAGGCCTTTCTTGCAGTCCAAAAATAGCATTCGATCCACCCCTCCTCTCTTGTATTCTGTCCCCCGTTGTCATAAAACTCTAGTAGGTTTGTGACACAGGATATTCCTCCTAAAGCCGTGCTGTTATCCAGTTATACACTTGTTCTTTCCAGGTGTCCGCCACCACCACTCTCCTGATGATCTTCCTCTATGACCTTCATACTATACACTTAGTGTTACAGGTCTGTAGTTTTTAGTCCTCATGTCTGTCTCCCTTTTAAAAAAATTGGGACAACATTTTGCCATTTTCCATACCTCAGGAGTTGGCCCATTTCAAATGATGTTGTTGAAGATCTTTGTTTAATGGCTCACACAATATCTCTGCTCCTCTCTTTAAGGACCCATGGAGAGATGTTGATCCTGGTCCCACACCCCTTGAGGTGATCAAGTTCGCATTAAGCAGCTTCTTCTAATCATCACCTCGCTCCTTTAATAAGTACTCATCCCGCACTTGCTGGTGTGCCCCCTTGTTCTGATTTCCTGGAGTCCTACTGGTATCCACTGTAAATACCTCTTAAATCTTGTGTTGAGCACCTGACATACCTATTATGTTCGTTTCTGTGAATTCCCCATCACTCTTCTCAGTCTGATTACCTGGCCTTGACTTGTTGTTATCCTCCTGATGTGGCTGTACAACAGCTTCGTCATCTTCACACTTTTGATCTATGTCATATTTCCATATTGCTCGGACGCCTCCTTCTTATCTTTTCTGGCTCATTTCACTTCGGCGATTTTCCTTATTTTCTCCGAGTTCTCTGTCTTCTGTTACCTTTTTTCATTTTCTATACACCTAGTTTTTGCCTCCCTACATACCTTTGGTGACCCAAGGACCGTTCTGTTCTCCCATTATTTCTGTTTCCCTGGAACAAACTCTCCCTCTCCACCTTCTCCTTGGTCATTTTGTTGCCACATAGTCCACATTTCTTGTACATGTGTTTTATCCTTCCGTTCCTCCCCGACTGAATGTCTTGAAGGAAGTTCATCATGCCTAAGTAGTTTCCTCTTTTGTAGTTTGGTTTTTCCCAGCTATTCCTGCTGACTCTCTCCACTTGAAGCTCAACTATGTAGTCGAAGCACAGAACCTCAATGACCACAAGCTCCCCGGTAGTGGCCTTTCATACATGATACCCACGATGTCCGAACTAACTCAAGGGAATACAAGGTCCAGCCTTGCTGGTTCATCCTCTCCCTCTCTCTGGTAGTGTCTCTAACATGTAGATGCATGTGTTTTCCCAGTACCAACAATCCATCATCTTGCTCACCATGTTTCAGCAGGCCCGCCATGTGCTCCAGGTTTTTCCCAGTCAATCTCCTTGTGATTGAAATCACCCATAACTAATAACTTTGCACCCCCCCTGTGTGCTCATCCCTGGCTCACTTGCTATGTGTCGATCAAGCTCTGTTGCTTCCACGTCGTGTGTGTGTGTGTGTGTGTGTGTGAGTGAGTGTGTGATTGTGTGTGTGTGTATAAGCTGAGCATAAAATTGACGTAAATTAGTGTAACAGTTATTTAGCATAAAGTAGTGGTGGGGGCAGTCGATTCTCCGTCTACTGATCGCAAGTTGGTCTCTGTTTTTCGTCAGTCCTGTGGATCATATCGCTGGAGGGTTGAACGTAGAGAATTCGTCCTTAAGCGAATAAACTACAAAATAAGCTTGGGAAGACGAGAGCGTCCTTGTGAATCATAGGCAAGAGAGGAGAGAGAGAGAGAAGGAAGAGAGAAAGAAAGAAAATCGACAATTATGAGAAGCATTTTTTTATAATAATTGCAACTTTGTACGTTAATTACAGTGAATAACTTTAAGGTTGTAGTGCATCACGAAGCCTGCCTGATGAACCCTCCAGTGAAACTGGAGAACACCATTACTGGAGAAGTGCAGCTCTTGAAACACTGATCACCAGTGTTCAGTGTTTTTTCCTCCCACTCACCATGTGACAGGTATTCAACCTTAATCAACTGGCTATACAGTTAAGGAAAAAAATGATGGTAGCAGAGTAAGTGGGAGAGCTGTGACTACCTCATAGCAGCCGTACAAAGCTCACTACATATACTCTGGAAACGACCCTTGTGGGTTTAGTGCTTAGATTGTTAATAAATAGCATTCTACAAATATACTTGAGGTACTTTGCGGTGGGTCCGTCTGACGCCGATACCGTCAGAATTAACCGATACCAGTACCGATACTTTGACAGACAGTAAGTGAATCCTGGGTAGCAGGCAGCAAGTGAGCCCTGGGTAACAGGCAGCAGGTGAACCCTAGTAGGCAGGCATCAGTGAAATCCCTAGGTAGCAGGCAGTCAATTGAACCGCTGGGTAGCAGGGAGCGTGAGCCCTGGTTAACCAGCAGCAGGTGAACCCTGGGTAGCAGGCAGCAAGTGAACCCTGGGTAGCAGGCAGCAAGTGAGCCCTGGGTAGCAGGCAGCAAGTGAACCCTGGGTAGCAGGCAGCAAGTGAACCCTGGGTAGCAGGCAGCAAGTGAGCCCTGGGTAGCAGGCAGCAAGTGAACCCTGGATACAGACAAGCAAAGTAACCCTGGAGTAACAGGCAGTCAGGTGCACCCGGTAGCAGGCACAAGTGAGCCCCAGGTAGCGAGGCAGCAAGTAGAGCGCCAGGTAAGCAGGCAGCAAGTGAACCCTGGGTAACAGACAGCAAGTGAACCCTGGGTAACAGGCAGCAGGTGAACCCTGGGTAGCAGGCAGCAAGTGAGCCCTGGGTAGCAGGCAGCAAGTGAACCCAGGGAACAGACAGCAAAGCTGAACCCTGGTTAGCAGGGCAGCAGGTGAACCCTGGGTATCATGGCAGTCAAGTGAGCCCTGGGTAGCAGGCAGGCAAGGAAACCCTTGTTAACAGACAGCAAGTGAAACCCTGGGGTAAGCAGGCAGCAAGTGAGCCCTGGGTACAGCAGCACGTGAACCCTAGGTAGCAGCTAGGCAAGTGAGCCCTGGGGTACAAGGCAAGGAAAGTGAACCCTGGGTAGCAGGCATCAAGTGAACCCTGGGTAGCAAGCAGGCACAAGTGAACCCTGGTTAGCAGGGCAGCAAGTGAGCCCTAGTAGCAGGCAGCAAGTGAGCCCAGGGTAGCAGCAGCAAGTGAACCCTGGGTAGCAGGCAGCAAGTGAACCCTGGGTAGCAGGTAACAGGCAGCAAGTGAACCCTGGGCAGCAGGTAACAGGCAGCAAGTGAACCCTGGGCAGCAGGTAACAGGCAGCAAGTGAACCCTGGGTAGCAGGTAACAGGCAGCAAGTGAACCCTGGGCAGCAGGTAACAGGCAGCAAGTGAACCCTGGGTAGCAGGTAACAGGCAGCAAGTGAACCCTGGGCAGCAGGTAACAGGCAGCAAGTGAACCCTGGGCAGCAGGTAACAGGCAGCAAGTGAACCCTGGGCAGCAGGTAACAGGCAGCAAGTGAACCCTGGGCAGCAGGTAACAGGCAGCAAGTGAACCCTGGGCAGCAGGTAACAGGCAGCAAGTGAACCCTGGGCAGCAGGTAGCAGGCAGCAAGTGAACCCTGGGTAGCAGGCAGCAAGTGAACCCTGGGTAGCAGGCAGCAAGTGAACCCTGGGTAGCAGGCAGCAAGTGAACCCTGGGTAGCAGAGAACATAGATTTTTCTCAGTAGATTGCATATTATTTCTTATTTATTTAAACGTATATACCAAATCAATTTCATTTCACTACGTCTGTTTTTCGACGTTCCCAGCGTCAACTTATTTTTTAATTTAGGCAAAAGTTAGGTTAGGTTACATAAACCCGGACAAATATGTGTGTGTACTCACCTAATTGTGGTTACAGGGGTCGAGACTCAGCTCCTGGCCCCGCCTCTTCACTGATCTCTACTAGGTCCTCTCTCTCTCTCTCTCTCTCTGCTTCCTATGTGTGTGTGTGTATGTGGGAGAAATGATTCCTCTTAAAAATATTTATGGTATTCATGATGGAACATTGCTTGGTATTGATATAGTGATGGGGAGGCGCTAAAACCGTCGGGATATGCAGTGGAGGGTCGTATGTGTCTTGCTGGAGGTGGAGTGCTGCAGATACAACCTCAACGTCATTATATACCTCCCTACACTCACTACCAAGATTAACACCAATATGGTCACTGTCGTTATCAGTATAATGACCAGTATTATCAGTTACCGTCACCATAATGACCATTATCATCAATTACCATCAATATTACCACTGTCATCATCAATATAATGACCACTATCATCAATTAACATCAATATAATCACTATTATCAATACAGTGACAACTATCATCACCAATTACCATCACTATCATTAATATAATCATCCCCACCATCACCACCACCATCATCATCATCATCACTATGATGATCATCATCCTTGGCAAGTACAACCTAAGCAATATCTAGGTTAAGCCTGACGTGGGTATCTTGACTCACCAGGAATAAGTGATCGCCTTTGATGTATTCACTGATTTTTTGGACTCACATATTTACACATGCATTTTATCTTTTCAGGGTAGAGAGCCTGTCTTCCAGGAACCAGCCAAGGTAAGTTACTAGAGAGAGAGAGAGAGAGAGAGAGAGAGAGAGAGAGTGAGAGTGAGTGAGTAGAATTTCTTTTATCTGGCGAAAATGGATACATCAGGAGTGTTCTGTTACTCTGTGTATCGTCGTCCTAAATTGAAAATTTTGGCAATTTGGTAGTATAAGGTTTGAGTGGGCAGTATTGAGGCTTTGCATGTGACGTCACGGGTTACGTAGTGGGAACGGAAGCTGTGTTTCCCTGTCATAGTGCATCAGACAGGCTTGGTCACATAGTGTTCAGTGTGTCAGTCTGGGCTGTGTGACTTCACCTTGGAACTGAAGATATCGTCATGTATTAGGGGTTCAATATTTACGATAGCTTCCAAGGTTTCGCTACAGCAGAGGTGGAGTTACCATGACCTAGGAATTACCGCCTCTCAGCATGGGATGCCCCATACACAGGAAAAACAATGGGAGTTTTATGAAGATATCTCCCATAACCGATCGGGGCAACATAAGCTATTATATATATATATATGTATATATATATTATATATATATATATATATATATATATATATATATATATATATATATATATTTATATATATATATAATATATATATATATATGAGTAAAGAAAAAGAGAAAGGAAGGGAATCTGGGCTACATTGTGTATCTAAGAATACATACATACATCAATATGCAAAATAACCACAGTGAAAAAATAGTGAAATTCCAAGCGCTTTCGTAATTTCTCACATTATCAAGGAACATTTCTTGATAATGTGAGAAATCACGAAAGCGGTTGGAATTTCACTATTTTTCTTCTGTGGTTATTTTGCATGTTGTGATATCACCTGTTTACTGTGATCTTACTGCCCACATTGGTATATAAGCAACGCAGATCTCAAAACTACAGTAAACGACTGAGAATACGCACACTAACGTGGATACAACCAGCCTGAGCACCACGAACGCGCCTAAGAATACGTACACTAACGTGGATACAACCAGCCTGAGCACCACGATCAACCACAACTTCACTTGTCCTAAGCAACGTCAACTAAGTGTAGGTTGACTGGGTGGTTACAAACAAAATGTACACTATGCTAAGTCACGTAGTTGTACATGCGTTACTGTATACAGGCAAAGAAATTTAAACGTGCGTGATCAGATGAGTACAAGAAAGGAAGGAAGAGAGAGGAGATTCTCTCTCTCTCTCTTTCACTCTCACTCTTCATGAAACAAACTTTCACCTTCCCTCTCCCACCTCCCGCCTCTCCGCACCTCTGCCACACTGACCAAAAAGTCCTGAAACAGTGTGCAGGTCTAGCCCAGGAAGACCCCATATTAAGCCGCAGGTAGCACCCAGACAGGTCTGCCAAGAAGACCTTGACGTGTGTCTTCCCAAGACACGTAGCATTCATTTGTCAGCCACAGACACAAGCAGGTAGACAGACAAGCAAGCAAGCAAGCGGGCTGGCAGGCAGGCAATAAGCCAGGCAAGCAACAAGTCAGGCAGCCAGCAACGCAGGCGACAGGAAAAAACACGAGGAGATTGACACATGCTCGTAAACACGTGTCACGTTCTTGAGAAAGTCCTTAACAAGACACCAGTTGCTTGTCTTCAACACCTTCTCTCACCGCCAGTGATACTCGTGTTGATTTCAACGTTACTTGGCGCTGCTCAGCTACCTCGTTGCCTGATGTGCCGCAGCCGTGTTTACAATGTTCACAGCTCTGGTTAGATAAGCAGTTTTATAGTTTCGTGTAACTTAAAATTATATTTGTTAGTTTACAGAGAACTTTATTAAATTGATGTTGGGAATCTTTCAGTTAAATTAACGAAGCAAAATGATGTAGGCTGGTGTACCAGGCCTCGTCTCACCTTCCAAAAACTCGAATCACAGTTACAGGTGCTGTCTCACCGTCTAAAAAACAGGATCACCGCTAATGGACCCGTCTCAAAGCCCGTCTTCTTATCATAGAAACCAACTGCAGGACCCGTCTCACCTTCTCAGGCCCCGATATCAGAACTAGTCTCACCGTCTGAGGCTCCCGTCTCACCGTCTGAGAGGGTCCCGTCTCCAGCCTCCTACTCGCATCTCACCTTCCAGCTCATTAATTAACAACGTATCTGATCAATAATTCCGACGCTCGGGAAATTACCATTACTATTGAAATATTACGTTTATTTTGCGTGGAGTTGAGAGGCGGCGCTGGGGAGAGTGTGACTGATATTTGTGACTCTGCTTCATGTTTCTTTTTCTACCCTCGCAACTCGTTCATAAAGCCAGGCTTCCCCCGTTTATCGCCTGTTAGCGTTGGTGAGAGAATATGACGGGATTATCAGACGTGTCTGAAGCTACAAGAAATATCCTAATTTCAACAAGTGGTAATTCATAGATTTTTCAGTGGGGAAAACGTTTAACTTTCGACATCTCACCCACTGTGGGGCTTTAACACGTACTTGACAACTCCCCACTGCGAGTGATAGCCCCACTGTGGGTGATAGTCCCATTGTGATTATGATGTATGATATGAACCTTGTTAATAGATACCAACAGAGTGGTATAAGAAAACTGGGAACTTGATTACCTTGATCAAGGTGCCAGGACCGAAACGCTTTGTAATAAGTATATGCGTATGACGTATCGTTCTCGTCTACGGAGTACGGTGGAAGGGCCTTTAAATCACTCCAGTATTTCAGATACTTGACTGAATTTATACGACCAGTGAAGATTCTCTGTACTCTCTACATTTCTGTAATTTCGCCTGTCTTAAAGAGGACTGTTAGTGTACAGCAGTATGTCAGCCTGGAGAGAACAAGTGACGTGAAGTGTCACCACTGGTTCAGCATTTCTTCTTTTGAATGTTCTAGTTATCCAGTGAAGGGGAGAGAACGAGGAGCAGTTGGGGAGGGAGTGAGAAGGGGTTATGCTGAGTTAGGTTAGGGAGTTAGGGAGTGGTGAGAGATGAAGGTGACTGCAGACACGTGAAGACTGTGCCAATCAGGTGACTGGCCGGGGAAACAATAGGACCTGCAAGTTATAAAGTGTGCCACTCAGAGGCACTGGAGCCTTGCCGGGGAGAGGAGGCAGGAGGAAAGCTAGGAGGAAAAGGACTAGGAAGGAGAGGAGAGGAGAATGAGCTCAGTGGTACGAGGCATTTTCTTCAAATCTCACATGAAGAAAAAATGTCAAGATGTAATTGAATGAGGGATTGAAGCAATGTTATCTTGAATTTTGCATAGTAAAAAGTATTTAGTTTTTTAATTTATAATGTTTTACCTTGAATTTTGCATAGAAAAAGTATATAGGAATTTTTTTGGGGGGGAGGGGTAATATTTTTTGGGGGGGGGGGGGAGGGTTAATATTTTGTTTAAAATCGAGAGTATTTTACAATGTCCAGGAATCAACAACTAACACAATAAGCAAAATATAAAAACTTCAGATAATTGTGCAGAATTCACGGCAGAAAACACCTGATGGAAGACGGATCTTTAAGCGTGGAAGGTGGAGTTTCAGCATGAAGCCGCTGGAGGACCGTGGCGGGCGAGGACCGTGGCGGGCGAGTGAATAGTGGACCAGAAACTGTGATGTAAAGGAACTTTAAAACTGGTGATTGACCTAGCTTTCAGAGGTAGCTAGAGGCCACGAGAAAGAGAGAGAGAGAGAGAGAGAGAGAGAGAGAGAGAGAGGGTACTCATCTATATATGGTAGAGTCTCAGTTCCTGGTTCCTGTGTATGTGTGTGTATTAGTGAGTGAGTGTGAGAGAGGGGAGGTGTGAGTGAGAGAGGGAGGGGCAGGTGCGTGTGTAGGTCAGTATTAAGTGAGTGAGAGACAAGTTAGTGAGCGGGAGAGCAGTATATTGGCAAAGTTGTGGGCCTGGGGGGGAGATGCGAGAGGGCTATCCTCCCTCATTAATTACTGCACGCCCAGAGAGGGTCGCTGCAAGGCAAGGTGGATGGATTGCAAGGAGAGTCGGATGGACTGGAGGAAGAAGATAAAGCTGAGTGACTGATCACCTCTTCACTGCTGATGCTGTTTCTCTCCAGTATTTAGTCACCTCTTATCTTCGAGGTGACCACTGCACCACCTCATCCTTACATCGTCACTGCTACTCCTCTCCAGTATTTAGTCACCTTTATCTTTGAGGTGACCACTGCATCATCTGCTCGTTACCACCTGTTGGTAGCAGGCACCAACTTCCCTTGATCTGTAGCTTGTCAGACTTGCCTGTTTGCAGCTACCCTGGACCACTTACGAGCTGCTGACTTCCCTTGGCTAAATTGCCCCTGGCTCCTCTGTCATGAAAGATCTCAACCCCTGCATTTCTCCTCTCTGCCTAACTAGCCGGGAAGTTTTCCCTTTTGTTAAATTTGACTTAGTACCTATGACCTGGAACAAATTGTGGATATGATTTGAGCTGCAGACAATAACAAAAAATACAGACCAGTAGCACTAACATCACACATTACAAAAGTCTTTGCAAAGGTTCCTAGATACCACTTTACTGACTTTATGGAGAAGCTTATGCTTCTCAACCCAATTCAGCATGACTTTAGAGCAGGAATATCTTGTCTGTCACAACTGTTACATCGCTGTGACAAAACTACAGAAGCCTTGGAAAGACAAAATGCTGCAGTAATCCGCACGGACTTTGTAAAGGCGTTTTAAAATGCAACCATGTAATAATAGTTACTGCAGCGAGGTCAGTAAGTATAACACGATTACATCTTCATTTCACTAATACACCCGCCTCTGTATTTGACTGAAGAAGCCTACTGTGTAGGCGAAACGTTTCAACAAAAAGATACCCAACGGTTGCACATGTGTATTAATCGTCAAGTGTAACATGAGCAGGAGGGAAATGTATCTACATTTTTTAGCAGACTGATCACAAAGAATGGTGGTAAACAGAAGTCCAGTCGTAGCAGGTAAAAAGTTCAGCACCCTAAGGCAGGGTCTTAGCACCGGTAATGTTTCTTTCATCCTTATAGTAGACGTAGGTAAGAACA